ATCACAATAGTCACATACAACCCCTTCCTCGTATCCTTATACCAAAAAATCGCTAAAAAACAAGGATTACGACTGTCGTTCAGAAGATGTCCGTCTATGTTTAAGCTTTTACGCAATGAAAAAGATAAACCTAAGGAGGATAAGCTGCCAGGGGTATACGCTGTTCCCCTCGTGGACCACAGATTTGAGAGACAACTTATCTATATTGGTGCTACTAAGCGTTCGATTGGTGTCCGATGGGCGGAACACAGAAGTGACATCATTCACAACAGGGCTACTACTTCGTTATCCACGTATGCTTCGGACCCGGAAATTTCGGTAGACTTTGATAACGCCAAACTCCTCATTACCACTAAATTTACGGATCACATCAAATGGTTGGAACAAATGGAGATCTGCAAGGCATACAACATGTCTGAACCTATTAACTCGAGGGATGAAATTACTCTATCCCTTGCATGGCAGGCCCTACTACAGAAAGAAGATACGCATTAATAATACGTTTCATAAATAGGGTGTAAACATCGTGCATAGGAATTTTTTTTCTTTTTAAGCCGAACATTTTTTTATTTTTATTTTTTATTGAATTTATTTACGGAATTCGGGAATGCACATGATTCACTTTAACGTTGAATTTTGACTTTTAAAATGTTGTTTGGAAGAATAATTTTTCGAATATCGCTATTTACTGGTCTTCGTTCATATTTATTCTAAAGACGAATCGCTGCTTGAGAAAGGTCCTAGGGAAGGAACCGAAAACGTTCGCAGTTCATTTTACGATTATTTAATACCAGTTATTGGTTTTATTAAGTGGTTATTTTTTATAGATGAAGAATATGATGGATTACAAAAACATCAAATTTGCATTAGGAATGTAAATATACCAAAAAGTATATGTAGCATATATAATTAAAATATTTTATTATCACAATATAATATTATATAATACAATATATTATTTATTTTTTCAGCTGTAAAAATCTTGTTTTAATTGAATCTCATTTAAATGTCAAGTTACGAAGGCGATTTGCCATCTACTTCAAGAGGATTCAAGAGGACAGCAGCATTTATTTAGTGAAAGTTCAAAGATCATGTTATGAAGGTGATTTGCTGACCACTTTGAAGGGTGGAAAAATATTCAGTTTTCTTGCATTTATGACATAATTTATGATCTTAAGTTTCTTTTTCATTGCTACTATACTACAGTTCTTGTCAAATGAATGAATAACTTTGGAAAAGTTTATCGTTTCTTGGTGCCATAAACTTAATACCAACAATAAAACAGAAGCTTAACAACATTAATATGAATAATGATAAATGGTGATTGACAACTTAACTGGATTAGCATTTTCTAACAGCTAAAGAATATTGTTTGACTTTTTACAACCAGCCTCCTTCCCTATTCCTGTTTTAACTTAGTCTTTATTTGACTTAGTCAAAATTCATCATCTTTCAGATGATGAATTTTGACTGTAGGCATCAGATGATGAACCAATTCTTCATTTTCATTTTAAAATATTTTGCATGTAATTAATTATTTCAGAATATTGAAGGTGGGACATTGTGTTTTCATAAAGTTGGTTATGAATGATGGCCTCTGTTATTTGGAGTATCTATTATTTAGAGATAAATATAATAGACGTCCTAAAACTCCTAGGAAAAAAATTAGAATATTCACCTAACTGAAAGTTTAGTGTATATTTTCTCATGAACAACACAGAGTATGAAACTTTTTCAAACATGACAAAAAATTAGAATATTAGCAAAAACAGCCAGACAAACAGCAATAAATAACTAAATTGTAATGCCAATGACTCACAAAAACCTTTGAATATCCAGTAAAACTATTTAATTGAAATAACAAACATTTTCGACTTTAACATTTGGTCTTCATCAGGTTTTACAAATGCTGAGATTCGAAGAACAGTTCTGTGCACCAATTTAAAACATTAGAATGTTGTGCACATGAATTGCCACGGATTCATTATGAGTCATTGATATATTTTCCAGTATCTTTACAAGAAAGTATTAAACCTTTTCTCAAGATAAATTGTAATGCAAATTTGCATATTGCTGGACAGAGCAATATAACAGTACAACATGGGGTGTAAGTGCAACATCAGTGACAGAACTAAAGATACTATCATAACCTTGTACAAAGCAAAAAAAATACAAAAAGAAATTGCAAATTATGTAAAGTGCTCGCAGCCAACAGTCTTTAGAGTACTTTAGAGTAAACAGCAAACCAAGTTCAAGTTTTAACTAAAAAACACCAGAAATGTGGATGTAAACGATCAACAACTGCAAAGAATGAGAGAAACTTGAGAAGGATTTTCATGCAAAACCACTTTAAAAACATTAAACACTTAGTATGCACAATGGAGAACAACTGGAGTGAACATTAGTAGCCAAACTACATGCCGAAGGTTGCACGACTTGCACTTCAACTGCTATGTTCCCAAGACGAAGCCATCTCTAATGAAAAAGCAATGACAAGGCATGCCAGATGGTATAGAGATGGTGAAGATTTCACTGTATAACATTAAGACACATTCAAATATTCAACTCTGAAGTATATATATATATATATATATAATCCAGAGGTCTCCCAACCTTTTTCTGAAAAGAGCCTCATGATCTGCCACATATCTGGGGCCTGGTATTAAAGATATAGTCAAAGATTAAGAGTAAGATTAAGATTTTTTTTATTTCTAAACAACAACAGACATAAATCAATTTGAAATTTGCAACTGTTTTCACAAAAGAATGTTTTCAAAATTGGGAACAATTTTGTGGCATCCAATATTTAAATCTTTACACATTCATTGAACAGAGTGATATTTGATATTTTCATTTTATATAATTTATTTCATTTTCAAAAAGGATTATTTGCAAAAATTCATAAAAGAAAAAAATAAAATATACCTTCCAGGCAAACTTTTTAAGACTTCTAAAATTCTCTTCTGGTAGAAATTTGTAAAAATGTAAACTATTTTCTTTAAATAGGTTTTTATAAAAACCATTTGCATATTTTATTAATTATAGTTGATTTTTCAAAAAATTATATGCTCTGGACATGTTCAAATGTCAATGATAAACATGTCAGTGGAAACAAACTATGTGGGCCAGATATATGTTTTAACAGCTGTAGGTTGGAGCCATTGATTTTAATCAATGGCTCCAACCTACAATACTTCAATATACATTGATCTATGCTTGGTCTAAGGAGCAAAATTTCAATTTGTGTAAACAATGAATAATAATGAAAACAAAGTGAAAATAGTAGTATCATATCTTATAAAGAAAAAACTGAAATCATTATAATAATATTATATAATGGGTCAAACACCTCAGCTGTTTGATCCTTTGTTACATTTAGTGGAGCACTCCCTCTGACCTATAGCATTAAATGCTACTGGCTTGAGGTACTCCTCTTTTAATTAACCTGCTTCGCATATGCTTTGCTTTGATCCTTTGTATAATTATATTGTTTTGTACAAATAAAAATGTTTAGTCACAAACAACAGAGAATTGTCATCAAAACTATAAAATATCAGAGGCAGCCAATCAAGAAAATTTGATATTGAGTAAAAATGCTGTTCTGTATATGTAAACAACAACGAAAAATGTTCACCTAGGTAGCCCCAATAGCAGCACCCCCGTTATTGGAGTGACAGTCATTTTCACTAATTTTTTAGCGAAATTTATGTTTTATTTCGTACTTTTTACATAAATCACGCCACTCCACAATTGTTGACCCTTCGCGTGATATTTATCTCCAAAGATCAGTTTTTAACACATATCAGTCTACCCACTATCTTCCATGCTTCACATGTAGGCTTGTGCTCACAACTTAGCGCCCGGGTGGGGCGAGCTCTCACACCCCCTAAAACTATATAATATCAAGTACTCCACAAACAGTCAAGTGGGCTACTTGAAGCTGGCACAGTCGGGTGGGCTAAGTTGTTAAACACGATACTGCCATTGAAGCTACCTAGGTGAATGTCTGCCACAACAACAAAATGTGTGCATTTGCCATTACTAATAAATCTGAAGACAATTATGTCGAAATAGAAGATTATGTGAAAAACTGCATTTCTAATTTTTCCAATAATCAATTTAAAATTGATTTTTGTACATCACAATTTTCATTTGGGGTACAATACATATGTTTATAATTTGTGGTGGCAGCCATCTTAACTTCTGTCTTCAGTGCTTGTGAACCTCGCTACAGCAGCTAACTTCAAGTGGAAATGGTTTAACTGTCTTTTAACAAAGCATCTTCATTAGGAAACACATTAATTCTTGGGGCATGGAATTTTACAGTAATCAAACACCTTTAAAATATTTGTTGCAGCATTTGCAGAAATTATTTTATTCTATATAATCCAATAATAATTATATTGTATTTTGTGTATTCTGATGATAATATAGTCAATTCCAAAATTTCTTTTATCATCATCAGTTATAATTTGTTTACATTCAATAATCAATCTGTACAGATTTAAAAAGATATTCCTATTAAGTAAAAAGAAGGTAAATTAATACTGACCATCTTCCTCATCATGAAAACTAAGTTTCGTTCCAACTCTCTTGCTTTTATCAGTGTTTTCATTTTCTTCTTTACCGAAGTTTGGATTGACTTTAGGCTTAGGTTTTTCTTGATCATTTATATCATTTTTATCAAGTTTATCTTTATTAATTTCTTCATCTTCCGAATCGCTATGTGTTACTCTTTGTCTGAATTTACGATTTGGCTTCTTAAATAGAGACATTTTATAAAAATTTTAAATTATATTTATTCGTAAACAATTCCCGCTCCTCCTCAATAGCTAAACTATCGTTTGGTTTTTACTTCGTCTAGCGGATACCTCGTAACTCATTAATAGAAATTAGCCCAAATATCGCAAAATTATTAAATTTTCTAGATTTAATTGAAAAATAAGTTTTAAATTAATAATTATCGTATTGTAAATGTTATCAGAATAAAAATATTATTTTGTAATTTATTTACAAAAGTTATATTTTCGTTTTGAATTTGTTATTCGTTTAGGGACAGTGTTTAGGTAACAAAAAAATGTACTCACTCTTTATCAGTCCAATAGAAGAGACGGCCGGAGTTACGTATTAGCAACGTCATTGCTAAAAGGTGCTCTTAGTGCCCACAGGGCGTAACTTGTACCTATGTTACTAAACACTTAAATCAAAATTAATATATTAGTAATGGTCAGTTAAAGAGTAAGTACATTTTTTGGGACACCCTATATCAGGGGTGGCCAACTTTTTGCATGCCATGCGCTAATTTTTTGACAGACGAGTTCAAATGATCCATATAACTCGAATACTTTTTATACACTCTTACGTTCAATGTTAGGGGTTGATAAATAGAGATAAGAATAAATCTGCTTCGCTTAGGAAAGAAAGGGGAATAACCAGTGGTGATATTCAAGATATTTAACAAAGGGTTCGCTAACAAAAAATTTTTCCTTAACAATTTTTTTTCGCTCAAATGATGCGTCGGAAGGCTCTAGTTTAGTAGTGTTACAGAGTATAATACGTATACAGTAATACCCCGAACTTACGCGATAGGTGGGACCGAGCGATAATCGCGTAAGTCGGGGTATAATTTCTCAATGTGTGTAAAATCCAAGTCGGGTGTATGTAAGCTAATAAATGTTCTCGTTAATCTTATATCGTCTTTTGATTCGTTCATTGTTACAAGAAATCACAACATAGAGTCTCTGAAGGCTCCGTAGATATAACAAACACAGAAATAAATAACACAAAATAAATTGTAGCTATGTGTCGATTCCGCGCGACACATCCGAACATGTAAGCCGAACAATAGTGTGGGGGAATGAGTAATCCAGAGTTGCGTGGCGCTCAAACAAAAGACGAATCGACGAGATTTGAAAATCGCGTAACTCCGGGTTCGCGTAAGTCGGGGTAGCGTAAGTCGAGGTATTACTGTATTTTAATATATTTTTTAAAAGAAACAAAACCACTGAGAAATGTTACATGCGTTTAACAAGGTTCGGAAAACTTTGAAAATGTTAACAACGGGTTCGGCCGAACCTGTGCGAACCCGCTGAATATCACCACTGGGAATAACTTAATCACGCAGTTGAATTAATTAATTTATGACAGTTTATTGAAGCACCAATTTACAATACAGTAATACCCCGGACTTACACGATAGGTGGGACTGAGCGATAACCACGTAAGTCGGGGTATATTTCGCAATTTATGTAAAATCCAAGTCGGATGTATGTAAGCTAATTAATCTTATCTCGTCTTTTGATTCGTTCACGGTTACAAAAAATCAAAACATAGTCTCTCTCAAATCTCCGTAGATCAAACAAACACAGAAATAAATAACACAAAATAAATTGGAGCTATGTATCGATTCCGCGCGACATGTCCGAATATGTAAGCTAAACAATAGTGTGGGGGGAGTGAGTAATCAAGAGTTGCGTGACGCTCAAACAAAAGACGAATCGATTAGATTTAAAAATAGCGTAATTCCGAGTTCGCGTAAGTCGGGGTATTACTGTAGTCAACAATGATCTCCTGTACGAGAGGGTGATTGCTTCATGAAGGTGCTATTGCTGCCAGAGTCTCGTTTGGTGAAGATTACTCTGCACCGCAATTAATGGCACTGAGAACGAGATCAGCTTGGAATAATTTTAATCACAATAAATGTTTTCGGCCATTTACACGCCTGTAAACTGATCGGAAATAAAGATCGCAAGACTCAAAATACATGCATACATTGTAATATACTAAGTGGAGAATACTCATTTTATCTGCAAAATAGACCGTAATGAATTGTGCAACAAATGAACTTGCCAAGACAGACTATAAAAAATTTATTTTTCTATATAATATTCTTAATCGCAAAAAAGCCAAATCTGGCAATTTTGCTCAGAACTAACTGAAGCGCCACTTGTAATCGTCCAATGCGCCACGTTTNTTCTATTGTTTTAATGACATTTAAATTCCGTAATGTTTTTTTCTTAGAATTGTTATATTTTAGAACTTTAAACGTGTATACCTGAAGAAATCTTGAGTGCTCCAAAACTGTTAATAAATTTAAATGTCTTCGACTTTGGTTATTGCCATTTTATGGTTTTATTTAAATTTTATATGAAATAGTCATTGTTAATGCCTAAGTTATAACTAGTTGAGTTAAATTATTTAAAAATGTATTATGAAAAATGCAGGGAAGCTTGAGAAAGATGGAAGTTAGTCATCATTTATAATTTATTTTGTATACTAGTACTTTCTATATATTAACAGGACTTATTATACTGGAAAATTATGGATGCAGATATTTAGTCATACAGTTCAAAAATAATGTTCTTTATTTAGTTTACCAGGTGAATTAAATAAAGAACATTATTTTTGAACTGTATGACTAAATATCTGCATCCATAATTTTCCAGTATAATAAGTCCTGTTAATATATAGAAAGTACTAGTATACAAAATAAATTATAAATAGTTAATTAATATGCCTTTTTGTCCTTTTTAAGATTTTTAAACATTAATTTAAGTGAAAGCAAATTGTTCAACTTTAGCTTCGCGGGCTACTTTCAAAACCTTTGCGGTCGACCGGTCGACCGCGGTCTACGTGTTGGCCATACCTGCTCTATATTTTGGCATGTAAATTTATCTATTCAATTTTTATTTTAAAAAGGATTTCATCACCATACAGTGAAAAAAAATTATGTCTTAGTTATAATTATTAAAGAAATTACAGCTGTGCCAAATAACTTGTATAAGTATTGTGAGGTCCCAAACGGAGTCTGAAAGGACGCATTCAACGGCTTTTTAAACGAATCACGTTTCATTACGCAAAGGAACTAAATTAAAGATCTGAAATAAACAATGAAAGATTTTTTTGTTAAGAGATTTAAAACGATAGCTAGATTAAAGTCGAGGAAAACGCGGCCGGAGAAGAGTCGTGTTCGGTCGCAAACTTGACCTCTCCCGCGCCCTTCGCAGGGTTTCGAATTGTCACCATGTGACGATGAGCAGTGGCGTAGCGTAGTGGGGGCGGCCCGTCCCGGGTGGCACTTTTAGGGGGCGGCAAAATTTCACAATAAATAATACGGTAATATCTTGTAAAAATTTGAACCATTTTATTTCATATTTTTGTCGCACCGATTCGGCCGATTGAAATGAGCACGGAATTTTTCATTACTTATTCTGTGACGAAAATAAATTTTAGTCTTTTAAATTGAGATACCTAAATAAAAAGTGGCGGCGAAATTTTCCTCCGCTCCGGGCGGCTGACACTCACGCTACGCCACTGACGATGAGAGGCCAATAGAGGGGCGACTACGGTTGGAAAATCTGTAAAACCGCGTTTTCATCCTTGAAAATGCGGTTCTTGGTTCGTAGTGCTCCCCTCCTGGAATTTTGTGCTCCCGTCAGTCAACAACGCAGGCTTTTTCAACGCCTTGGGATTTGGTTTCGACACCTCGTCACGTCAAGAATCGCCCAGGTACAACTGGTCATCGGAGGACATCTTTGCAAGTTCTGGTGTGTGCCCCGAGGCAGTCGCTCTCTCCCAACGATCGCCGGAACATTCGAACTTTTCCTTTTTTTGTTTTTTTTGAACTGTTGTGATTGCCAACCGTTGGATAGACGTTTCGCCTGGCATATTGAATAGTTGTAAGGAAATTTATGTATCTATTAAACGGTCTTAACTACAGTCCTTTTCCCGAAGGCTTTGTACATTTTTAACGTTTCAAGTTGTTTCGGGCGAGGCACTATTTTTTCTCGATGGCGTCCTTTTCATTTCTAAGGAGTGAAGAAATTATAGAGTTCTTCTAAAACCGTACAATTTCCTCACTCTTTAGAATCCTGTGCTTAGCCTATTACATCGGGCTATCTCCTTATAAATAGAACAGAAGGCCTTCTGTTATGTGATATAGAACATTCGGAAAGAATAGATATCTACAAACTGTTCGGGATAAGGACGGCATGAACATAGATAGTCCACTTATATGTTACCGTAGGCCTATTATCGTACAGCAATTTTGCTAAATTGTAGAGGAAAAATTGCCGTCAACTTTGATGTTATAAACCAGCGCTGTCCAACTTATCATAGCCCGCGGGCCATATTTTCTTCACAAACGTTTCGGGGGCCAAGAAGGTTGGATAAACCACATGACATTTGCATAGTGCTACGGTTCAGTAAGCACTAATTGGTCAGCGAGTCCGATGTTGACGCTATAAAAAGGCGACAGTTCGACACACCGGATATACGTCACTCTCGTCTAAGTTCGACTTGGGAATTTTTTTTGTTCAATAATAAATGTGAATTCTTCTTCCTGGAAAAAAATAAGACATTCCCTGAAAATAAGACCTAGCGCATTTTTCAGAGCAAAAATTAATATAAGACACTGTCTTATTTTCGGGGAAACACGGTAGTAAAATAATTTTAATATTAATAATAATAATTTAGTAACATAAATTTATTCATAGTAAAATGTACTCGCGGGCCGTAAAAATTATTTGGCGGGCCG